CTGTACATACAGTTTTGTACAATGTTATTTTGCAGGAGGGAGATAAGCTAAGGTGGGACCAGGCTGGATGCAGTAAGGTTCCTGAGCTCTGCTCTGGAACTTACCTAGAAATACAAACCTGGTTTTCAAGGTGGTTGGTATCTGTTGTATCTTTTTCTGGGTATGCAAATTCGGGTTGGAGATTTAAGCCTAAGTTGGAGCAAGAAGACCTGAGCTTTATTCCTTCCTTCCAGGTACCTGGTTGGACTTCTGGCACCCTGTGGCTCTATAATGGTGGTTGCTTTGGCTTGTCCTGGTACCTCACTGTGCAGATGAACCTTGAGCTCATTAATTCTCATTTATGAGAGGTGGCTGATATTTTTCCCTCCATCTCAGTTCCCTTTTACTCTAAGGTCTTGGAGCAGTGAGTTCAGGGTGAGTCTCAGCTGGGCAGTGTCATTTAATTTGCTTCCATGGCTTCTTGCCTTGCATCTGCTTGGACTGGTCAGTAAGTACGATAGACCCTGGTACTGCCCTGTCCTTGCAAACAGGGAGTGTGTGGGCCCTGTTCAGAGGCGGGGGGTGACGAGGTGGGGTGGGGCTTGTGTGTGCAGCGTACATCTTAGCCTAGTTCCAGAGGGCCTTGCGGGCAGGGGGGGCGGTGAGTGTAAGGGGGAGCACTGAGCCCGCTGGCCGGAAGTGACCCAGTTTCAGAAACGTTCCAGCCCACGCCTGGAAATCCCTCCTGCCTAGCTGTGTGGGAATCTAGTCTTCTCAGCAGCGGTTCATTGAACCTGAAGAAACCTGAGCTTGCTGCTATCTCAGTGCTGCACAGCGTAAGATGTTCTTTCATCTGCCTCTGCTCAGCCACCTAAACGGGCAGATTCTCTGCAGCTGGCACTTGGTGGGAACTAAAAACAGAAGTAATTAGACACAGCCTCTGAGCAGCCCAAGTCCAACGCAGGGGTTTCCTGATGCAGTCTTCTGGAACTAAGTAGCTCCCTAATCATGATCTGGTTTTAGAGTAGTCAGTAGAGACCTAAGTTTGGCCAGGGATTGAGTCCCTAAATAACATGTTTTGTTTTGTTTTTTCCTCTCACTTAGCTCATGGATTTGCATAGGACATGGTACTTCTGAATCTCGTTTGGAAAGCCTAGTTTCAGAACACATTTTCCCCTATGACCCTGAATCTGTTCTGCCAAATTGATGCTGACATGCCGTTACCTGAGGCACTCAGCAGGAATGGTTGCACAGTGGCTCCTTGTCCCTGGTTTCCTTCGTAACACAGGCTTCACAGGACGAGTTTGTAGAGCCGAGTGTGGCGCTGCACACCTGTAATCCCAGCACTTGGGAGGCTGAGGCAGGAGTGTTGCTATGAGTTCGAGGGTAGCCTGTATTACAGAGTGAGATCCTGTCTCAAAAAAACAAAACAGGAAGAGTTTATAGAACCAAGAATTGTCTCCATTGAGCTTCCTTGGCACTCTGTCCATCAGTTTCCTTGGCCTCCTCCAGAGGAAGGGCTCTGGCAAGTGACATTTGTGAAGTGCCAGCACCAGGAATGAGGCTTGAGTATGTTGAGTGGAAGAAGCTTGTCCGTCGTTGCTGCCTCACGACCTACAAAAGGTGTTTAACAAGTATTTTAGCCATTAGATGGGGCTGGATGGTAGGCCCCATCTGTGTGGCTGGTGAGAGGACCTGATTAGCCCCTTTGGCTAGAGTGAAGGACCAGGTAAATAGGACACTGTCTCCTGGTCCCAGGCTGTTCAGAAACTCAAAAGGGAGGATAATCTTGCAACCGCAAGGCCTCTGCCCGTGGTCAGGTTTGCTCCCACCCTGCTCCTCTGTTCGGCCCCTGTGACTTGGATCTAAGAGAGGACCGCAAAGTTTTCAGCTGTCTCAGCTTTCCCTTGACCTCAGGGGCAGAGGTTCTGCAGATGTTCTTTCCTTTGGAAGATCTCTTGCCAAGAACAGCATTCCTTCAGGGGAAGGGGTTCGAGCTGAACTGTGGCTGGAATGTTGCTTTTCTTGGTTTGTGTGGATGCATTGCTGGCAGGACAGCTGCTAAGGGCTGGGAAAGGCGCTCAGCGCTCACTGTCTCACAGGGAGAGTGCTGGGCTCCCGGATGCGGCCGCTCATGACCACAGCCAGAAATGCTGAGGCGTTCTGATGGGATCAACCTGGCTTTCAGATTTCTTCCAATTCCTAAATTCTTTCTGTTGCGAAGAAGTGTTTGCATGAGTCACTGTACTTGTCATTTGCAATGAAATATTTTATGTGTATATTTTAAGCTTATTGCATCCTTAAAATTAATTTCCAAGGGCTGGCTATATCCACAGTTCAGAAGAATTATCTCTTGCTGAAATCAAGGCTTGTCCAAAAAAGCAATGTAAGGGGAACAGATGGCTCTTTGGTAGGAACGCGGTAAACACTGCTTGGCTGTGGGTGGTTTATATTTGGGGACCTGTGAGTCCAACAGGGAGGGCTCGTGACGTTTGGGTGGACTGAAATCAGGTACAGATGACAGTGTCTGAAGCATCCCTGTCACTGGTCTGAACCAGTACAAACGAGCTGTTTCTTGAGAAGCTTGGAAAAACCACCAGGAGTCCTGCCAGCCCCTGGAAGAGGGTGTTCCCTGAGCACACCCTCTACCTGTCTCAGGTCTGCTCTGTTCCCAGAGGTCAGAGGAGACCGATAACCGGGCAGTCACTTCCCTCTGACAAGGTGAAGGAGCTGAGTTTGCCAGAGGACGCAGCAACAAGTTTCGGAAGAGCTGAAGGCCTATACCTGATTAACTCAGAGCAAACAGGCACAGCCCTGGACTTAGGGAAGATCAGAAGATCCTGGTTCTTAAAAAATGAGGAGAGGGTGAGGTTTTAGGTCAGGAATTGGTAGGAAACAGCCATGGCTCTCACCCCAGTTGGACATGAGAACTATCTGTATGTATCAGAATAAACTGGTCCCTGTTCAAAAATTTCATGCCAGGTGTGGTGCACACTTGTAATTCCAGCACTCAGGAGGCTGAGGCAGGAGGATCAGAGTGGAGTTCAGGGCCACCCTGGGCTACATAGCTCAAGGCCAGCCTGGCTTCAAAACACTAAAACCATTTCATGGTGCAGGCTTCTGAGGATTTCTCAATGACTCGGTGATCAGACATGGAAATCACAAGTCCGTAATGGAGAGGGAGGGAACATTGTCATTTGTTCAAACTGAAACGTTACGAAAGAAAACCAAGTTTGGAATTTCTGGTTTTGGAAAGGCTGAGAGAGCCCACCTGCAGGTAGCTGAAATGCAGTGTTCAGTACCACCATGCCCCAGCCCACCCCATGTCCAGCTGCTCCATCCACACCTTTAGGTTCCAGAACGCAGAGGCAAGTGAGTCTCAGTTCCCAGTCTGCCTGCCTGCCAGAGCCTGGTCCTCGCATTTGTGATCCACACCCCTTTCTCTGACAACAAACGAAATCTTGGAATGAGAGTTGCTTTTGATGAGGTGGTCTGGGGACCACCTCATGAGCTACTTTTGGGCCACGGGTATATGTAAGCTAGTAATGTGTGACAGTCTCGTGAGAAGTCTTGATACTGTGGGTTATTAGCATCCATTGCTGATAGGACGGTGCTGAGAACACTTGCCTTTACAGAGCTGATGCTATAACTGGAGGAAGGCGTTTTACCACACATGTCATCAGAAATAGTACTCTGTCTGCCATGCCCTGGATGCCCACCTCTAAGCTTGATCTGAGTTTCCTATGTATTTTAGCTCCTTTTTTTTTTTTTTTGGTACCAGGAATCGAACTCAGGACCTTGTACTTGCCAGGCAGGTGCTTGTGCCACTGAGCTATATCCCCCAGCCCCTGAGTTTCCTATGTAAAATGTAGAAAGTTAGACTGACCTGGGGCATGGTAACAGGAGACTGCCGAGTGTCAGGGTGGGAGGGTCTGAGGGATCACTGTCTTGGGACACCTTAAGCCACCTCCATCCTGAGGCACTGCCCTGTATGGGGTGCTTTGAAAGAAAAGCATCATCCCAAGCCAGGAGGCCCTGGGGGCCACAGTGGCATTTGACCCTGCTTCCGAGAAGCCCCTGGCTGTGTCCCCATCTCCTCCCCCTCTGTCCTCCCACGAGCTGCCTGAATCAGCCTTGGCAGAGCTCCTCAGGCTGCATGGAGGCTCTGGCCCGGTGGCCGCCGCTGGGGGCAGGGGTGGGGACGGCTGGGCACATTCCAGCGTGGGCAGATTGTCCTGTTGCAAGTTCAGGGAATCCAGTTTTCTCCATCTAATTAAGAGCATTTCTTACCAAAAAAACAAAACCCAACTTACATTCATTGACGTTTAGAATGTCTAGGTCCAGACCAGCATTCCTGCATGAGGTTCTGTGCTGTGCTCAGGGAAGTTCTTGGGTAGTTTGAACACCGGGCCCCGCAAGCTCTGTTGTAGTTGACTGCCCCTAAATACTCCAAATATTGCCTAGGAATATTGGGGAACTTGCTATGAAAACAGAGATTATGGTGCTATGCCTGTGGGTCCCACAGAAGCCAGCTACAGTGACCCAGGTAAGGCGGGAGCCCATGTCTTGGAGGTGTGGCTGAGGACCAGGCACCTACAGGAGTTCCCACAGGGCTGTGTCTGAGGCTTTGGGGTTAGACCTCAGTAACCACTTGTGGGATCTTGGGTAAGACACGTCACCAGCCTGTAGAATGGTAGGGTCATTTCTCTGGCCTCAGCCGTGATGGGAGGTATCAGAAAGGCCTTTCTCACCTAATGCCCCTGTGTGCACTCTCCAGTCATTACATCAGCCATCTGCAGCTCTGTGATAAGGGGGTTTTGTCAGGGGACGGGCCAGGCAGGCCTTCGAAACAGCGCTTACAGCCCGCTTGGAAGCCAGGGTTTGTTTCGTAGGGACCCCTACCACGCCCAGCTGCAGTTACGACTGTCCCCTGGCTGCTCTCTGGGTTTGATCCTTTCTCTGAGGCAGGCTGGGGCCACGTGGCCCCGCCCCACCCTTGCTGGCTCCAGTTCAAGGGCTCCGCTTCTAGTCTAGTCAGAGCTGCGGTGGCTTGCGTTCCAGCTGCCCTCCTCAGATAGGAAGCCTGCACTGTGGGCTGGGGCAGCCGCAGCCTCTCCTGCCTGACATCCAGTCCGCAGCCCCTAGGCATGTGCTGCAGGTCCTGGAGCCCCTTAAAGCCACCAGCAAGTGTTAGAAGACTGCGTGCTGGCCCGTGAACAGGTAAGCGCGGGTTTTCTCTCACATAGGACTTTCCCCTCAGGCTGGACAGCTAGCTTCCCCTCACCAATGGAGCTGTCAGAGCAAGAGGGACTTGAGCTAGACTTGACAAAGAACAGATGCAGCCGAGAGGCTCGGAAGTACGTTGCAGGAATGGTGTGAATTATCTGCTCTGGGTTTCATTTTTTAACCTTTGCTTTCATATTTTTAACCTTTGCTTTGATCAACCTGGGCGACTTAATAAGACCTTGTCTCAAAACAAACAAAATAAATGAATAATAACAGTTGGAGTTGTAACTCAGCGTGAAGCTTTCTGGGTTCAATCCCCAGTACTCCATTACCACCAAAAATAATTATAAAATTATTAAATTCTTTAAGGAAAGGGGGAGCCCGGTGTGGTGGCACATGCCTATAATCCCAGCACTCAGGAGGCTGAGGCAGGAGGATATCTGTGAGTTTGAGGCCAGCCTGGGCTATACAGTGCGACTCTGTTAAAAAAATAAACAAACAAACAAAAAGAAAAACTAGAAGAGAGAAAGTAGCACAGATAAGCCTTCTTGTTCATACAATATTTTTGAAATTAAAATGTTGGGGCTGGGGATTTAGCTCAGCGGCACAGCGCCTGCTTGGCAAGCGCAAGGTCATGAGTTTGATTCCCGGTACTGGAAAACCCGCAATCCCCCAAAGAAATTGTTTTGCTTTTACACTTTTATTTTAAATGCACATAAGTCAGCTGACTATAAGTCATGCTTAAGGTTCATATAGTATTCACCACATTATCAAACCCACTCCAGGATGCCATTGTCCCTTGATTGTGAAGTTGGATTGTTTCCAGGTGTTTTTATAATTAATAATTTAATTTCTATGGGCAACCCTGTGAAAGCAAGTTTTTTTTTTTTTTTGTCTTTCTGGTTTTGCTGAGTTTTCCACTCTCCCTGGAGTGTCTTCCCCATCCAGAATAAATACTTGCAGCAAAGGGCAAGAATGTTTTTGTAGCTACTCTCTTGTTACGTATGGGCTCAGCTCACTAATAAGAATTACAGAGCTAATTTGCTAATTTCTGGGACCATCGGGGCACAGTGGGGTGGGTGAGAGGTGGGGTGTGTGCTCTGGAGTCTTTCACGACCGGGAGGGAGAGGCAGTCTAGCGTAATGGTTCGGAGCTTGCATACAGTAGCTTGAACTCCCAATAACTTCCTGTGCCCCAATTAGTTCATGGGCAAAGAATATAAAAAACGTCTCAGGGATGTGGGAAGGAGATAGTGTGCGTGTGTGTCTAGGTCTGCTGCTTAACAAGGCTTGTACAATGGCCAGGGAAAGCCCCAGGCTGGCGAGAGCTCCCGAGGGCGGCAGCCTGGGGCTTTCCCAGGCCATTGGAAAAGCTGAGCGGAATGAGGAGGAGGTCAGGGGCGCCTTCTTCCCCAGCCTTGCCGCACCTGCAGTGAAAGCCTTCATCACTTATTAGTGGACCTGTTGATGAGGCCCCTCCCTGTCTTGAGGCTGGAGGACTGGCGCTTGAGGCTCAGGATCAGGCCTCCTCCACAGGACCCCAGGCTCTCAGCAGACACCTGTCATCAGATTGGACGCCATCCTTTCTGTATTTCAGGCACCTCACCTTCCTCTCAGCACAGATGTAATGGATCCCTGGGTGGAGTGAGAATTCCCAGGAAGTCCGTGTGTGACCTTTCATTCCCCACCCTACTCCTCAGCATGGTGTGCTCAGGCTCCGGAGCCAGTGGGTCTGGAATCCAATCCTGGCTGTGCCCCTTCCCACCTATGGGCATCGCTGATCCTCCACGAGCCTCCATTTCCTCACCTGTGAAAGGGGCGTGTGAATACCCATGCCATAGGATTGCATGATACAACACAGGTACACATCTGGCCCTTGGGGGCCTGCTACCATGAGGGACTGCAGCTATTGAGGGCCTTAGGGAGGGCAGCAGAATTAGCCATAATGACAAGAAGAGTCATACATCCATTTTCCTTTCTTTTTTTTCCAGTCAGATTTTATTGGTACATTTTAGATCTACATAATGAGCACATGCATCATGGAGCCATTTCTCTTGGTCAACAAATATTTATCAGGCTGGGATGGCTATGGTGCTGGGAGCTGGGAAGAGAGCTGTGTGAGACAGCCCCCCTGCTCTTGGAAGAGGCATGCACCCTAGACCGAGAGAATGGGGGATAATGACCTTACTGGTGGGGCATTCAGGAAATGGCTCCACGGTAGGGAAGGGTGAGGCCCTCCAGAGGGCTGCAGGCCGAGAGAAGGGAAAGGGAGCGTGGGATGAAAGGAGAGGTCCCTGAGCCCAGACCGCAAAGAACCTTGAAGGTCCAGTGGGAACTGGGACTTGGGCTCAATGATGTTTAAGCAGCCTTTGAGATCCTGTGCTAGCAACTCCGGTTGGGGAGATAAGGTTGGGGGCCTGGTAACCCCCAGCCTTCTACACTCTCTCAGGGGCTTTAGTGGCACCCGAAGTCACAGTAGAGCCTGGTGTGGAAGTTGGGGGTGCTGGCTTCTGGCTCCCAGCCCAGCCACCAGAGGGCAGGGATCTCTTCCTTGGCCTGATGAGGGCTCAGGACAGTTAGGTTGGATGTAGATCTTGCCGCCTAGGAGTTGTAGAATGTCGCTGAGGTGGCAACTTCCCCCACCCTCAGACAGGGCCACCAGCCCCTGTCCCTGAGACGGTATTGTCCCATGGCCTTCCCCGGGGCCTTCCCTCACCCAGCCTTGGGCGGAAAAGACATCTTGTCAGGAATGGGCCGTCTGGCCCTGTGGGCCTGAGGGAGACTCCATGGAAGTCTGAGAACCACGGCCCCCAGGGGGATCCTGGGCCCCCACTGCCCTGCAGGATTGTGTGTGAGAGCCCTGCCTTGCAGCTGTGGGATGCTGTCCCCTGGGACCTGGCCTGGAATCAGCTGGGGACCAATCCCTGCGCTTCTCAAGGGCGGCAGGGAGAGCAGTGTCTATCGCAGCCTGGAAGCCAAGTGAGAGCCCGCCAGGCTGCCCTTGGGCTTCTCCTGGGCAGGCGCTGTGGATGCGCTGGGACCTGGCTACCCTCAGGAAGGTTCAAGGTGATGAGTTTGAGAAGCTAAAGAGATGTGGGCTTCTTGGCAGCTACTAGGAAAGAGTAAGCCGCTGTTCCACGGCTTTCTGAGGTGCTTGAGAAAGTCCGTACTGGGGCCCAGGACTCTACCACGAAGACCCAGCCCCGCTTCCGTCTGCAGCCCCGCTTCTGTCTCCATCCCCGACATGTTTTCTCGGTGGTCTCTTCCCTCCAGCATACTAGCGCTTTCCCGGGAGCCATTGCTCTCCACCGCTTGTCTTTCAACTTTCTCATCTCATTGAAATCTCTTTGCCAACATTTTAAAAACTATCTTAATCATTTTTAAGTGTAGACTTCAGTAATGTTAAATATATATAAACTGTCACACAACAGATCTTGTAAAAATGAAACTCTGTACCCATTAAACAATGCCCCCCCATAACTACCTACTTTCTTTTTCTTTTTTCCTTTCTACTTTCTGATATATATATATATGTATATGTATATGTATATATATATATGTATATGTATATATATATATATATTTTTTTTTTAGACAGGGTCTCACTATGTGTAGTTCAGGCTGGCTTCAAACTCACTATGAAGTCCAAGCTGGCCTAGAACTCATAGCGATCCTCCTGTCTCAGCCTCTCAAGTGTTGGGATTACAGGTGTGTGCCCCCATGCTTAGCTCTGTCTCTCTGATTTTGACTATTCTATTTTCCTTACGTAACTGGCATCATACAGTCTTTTGTGACTGGCTTATTTCACTTACCATAATGCCCTCAAGCCTTAGCCACATGATAGCCTGTGACAGCATTTCTTTCCTTTTTAAGGCTAAATAACATTCCATTGAATATATACGCACCATATCTTGTTCACTCATTCACCTGTCAGCACTTGGGTTGGGTTCCATCTCTTGGCTATTGTGAATGATGGTTCTGTAAAGCTGGCTGTACGACTTTCCCTCCAGATCTCTGCTTTCAATTCTTTTTGGTATGTATCCAAAAGTGGAAATGCTGGGACATATGGAAATTCCGTTTTTAATTTGTGGAGGAAGTGCCATAGAGTGTGCAAGGTTCCAGTGTCCACGTTCTCATCAAGCTTCTGATGGCAGTTTTTTTTCTTTGGTAATAGCCATCCTAACTGATGTGAGTGGTATCTCATTGGGGCTTTGACTTCTGCTTCCACGATGACTAATAATCTCTTCATATACTTGTTGCCCATTTGTATACAATCTTTGGCAAAATGTCTATTGAAGTCCTTTGCCATGTTTTAATTGGGTTATTTGACTTTTTGTTATCTTGATGTAGGAGTTTTTTATTTTATTTTTTTAGGGTACTGGGGATTGAATCCAGGGCCTTTACATTAAACTATAATGCCAGTCCTTTTTTAAAAATTTAAAAAAAAAATTTTTTTTTTTGGTTTCTTTGAGACAGGGTCTCACTCTGTAGTTCAGGCTAGTGTCTAACTCAAGCTAATCCTCCTGCCTCAGCCTCCCAAATGCTGGGATTGCAGACATGCATCATCATACCCAGCAAAATTTTAAATTTTGATATAAGGCTTTCTAAGTCACTAAATTGCCCTAGCTGGGCTTGAACCTGGGATCCTCCCATCTCAGCCCCTCAGAGTGTTGGGATTATAGGTGTGCACCACCATGCCTAGCTGCTTCCTTCAGGTGATAGATGAAAAAAACTGATGTCCAGGAAGTCTCCTAACTTGCTGAAGGTCATGCAGATGGGAGGTGGCAGTGCCGGGAAGTGGGTGGGGATAGAGGATACACCAGCTGTGCCTCCAGCTGCTGCATTCCTCAGGTCACCTCAGTGGCCCCACCAGACGCTAGAATCCACAGGGCACCCCTTCTTTCTTGCCAGCCAACCCGAGGTTCCCCGGATCTGCTGGCTCATCTAGTGGTGAGCCAGCTTCCACCTGCCGGAGGAGGCCTGGCCTGCTGTGCT